ATATTTGAAATTGTTTTGATATTTGATAGATATTGACAATTAATATTTGAATTTAAATTCGATTAAATGTTTGAATGTTCGATTTTATTCGAATTTGATCAATTAATTATTTTAGGTAATTAATAAATATATAAAATAAATATTTGTATTTATATAAATATATAAATTATTTATATAATTTTATTATCATATATATAAATTATATAAATCTTTTATATATTAATATAAAAATTAAATAATATGTCAAATTTAGATATTTATTGAATTGAATCAAGTCATATCGATTTCGAATATTTTTTAGTTATTCGATACGAATAAGATATTCAAATTTGATTGATTAAATATTCAAATTCAATTCAGTTATGTTGAATTTCAAATTTGAAATCGGATTTTTTAATACTATTAACACCCCTAACGACCTTACAACCATATCTCACCATATAATGGAACCATCTCCCATAAATAATAATATCTAAGTATATGAAATGTCCCCAACGTGCGATTGATATATACTATGAGGTCGATGTGGGGAGTGCTTTATGAGGAGCAGATTTTAACTCAATAATTTGAGTTCGATCTCCCTCACAATTCCTAATGCGATAGTACAGTTTGGTCAATGTTAGGGGAAGGTGGAGATTCCTATAGGCAGTGAGCCTAAATGCATTTTAGAAACCAACAAAACAATGTTGAGGGAGACTGAACTCTAAAAAAAGCCATATTTATTTGGGGATAAAATCTCCTACCCAGAGAGTTTTTCCACATTCATGACCAAAGAGCAGCACTACATGCGCTTATTGGGGATATCTCCTTTGTTGGGAGATGTTCCTAATACACAACAACAGTGTTTTTGAGCATGGATGTGGAACCATTACGGGTAAGAGGTTTCTTTGCGTGGTCATATACGCTTTTATGTCAGCCTAGATAAAAAATTCAAAATGGTTAATCCACAACAAACAACCACAAGTTCAGATAATCCGCTATATTACAGGGTGTTTGCTAGGTGTTTATTCAATAAAGGGTAAAATATAAAGAAAGCTGATGATGCACAATCTGGTCGGTCCTAGCTGTCGGTAACCTTGCCTCTGAGGGAGCAGAAGATGACTGAAACAAGGAGGAAACAAAAGATTCCAGGGGAGAAACCTGGTGGGAATGCTTCGATGCTCAAGTTAGTGCTCTTGAAAAGGCAAGGAGAATAAGAGATTCTAAGACCATAAGGCACAAAATATCACCTATCTTTACTCTGGGGGAAGAGGGCCTTTTATAACCACCCTGGTGCACTCACTTCCAAGCTTTTGCCATATCAGGTATAACCGCCTCTGTGGGGGGCAGGCATAACCGTCACTGCCTTCTCTGTCAGGGCCGTCTCTGCAATAACTGAGATGGCGGTAGCAGGTGGTCGCTGGAGTGCAGTTGTCATTTGTCAAATCCCTGATTAGTTAGGCGTGCCACCTCAGAGTACGGGCTTCCTTGTCAGGTACGGTTATTCAACCACGCAATCTAGAGCCGAGGTGCCGGAGTGGTGCACGAGGTGAATTGAGTCCGGATAGGAGTACGGCCCGGACCGTCCCGAGGTGCCGGGGTGTGGCCTGGACTGACCCGAGGTGGGTTAGTCCGGGCTTCGTCCTTTGCAGGGTTCCTTGCAAGGCTCGGGATTCTAGGGAGAGCTCGGGTTCCACCTCTTGGGAAGCGCGGGTTCCTTTCGGGGAGCTCGGGGTCTCTCCTTGGGGAGCTCGGGCTTCTTTTTTGGATACGGCTATGTCGTTGTGCCGAGCTGACGCTCCTGCCAGGTTATACCCGATTGCTTCCACGTGTCGCACAGCCAAGGGGTTGGGCCAAATCTACCTCCATCAAAAGCCTCCCTCAAAGTTTTTGACAATTATAAAAACCTCCTATATAGTTTCATTTTAATAAATATATCCCTTTAACTTTTCAGAAATTCAACAAAAACTTTCATTTCTGTCATTGTCCCATATGGAAAACGTTAGACTAATGTACCAGTTTTTTCCAAATATCCATTCTACCCTTTTATAAATTATTTTATATATAAAATTATTGAAACAATTCCATTTTAACTCAATAAAAATACATGTTTCAATAATTTTGCATGTAAAATTACTGAGATGATCATTAATTAAGGTTTTTGTTGAGTTAAAACAGGATTATTTCAATAATTTTGTATGTAAAATAATTTATAAAAAGGGTAGAATGAGTATTTGAAAAAAAAAACTGATGCATCAGTCTAACGTTTTCCGTCTAGGACAATGACAAAAGGGAGGTTTTTGTTGAGTTTCTCAAAAGTTCAGGGGAGGAATTTGTTAAAATGAAACTATAAGAAAGCTTCTTATGATTGTCAAAAAATGTAGGGAGGTTTTTTGTTTTTTACCCTTCAATAAATGCTGTTACATAGGTGCCACTTCATCAATTTTGCTCTATTGCTCTTCTATACGCATAGAAGATGGCAAAAGTGGACTTTGTTTTTGTGCATGCTTACCGTTTGGGGATGTTATTTTTTAAGGGGATGTTTGGAAATGTGGCCGTTTTTTTATAGAAAACAGTGTCATGTCGGATTCACATAGGCGTTTCAACAAACGTCCATATACATGATTGTTTGGTTCAAGCGCCTTGTAAATCAGGACCCCATCGATGTTAGACTAATGTATCAGTTTTTTTCCAAATATCCATTCTACCCTTTTATAAATTATTTTATATACAAAATTATTGAAATAATTCCATTTAACTCAATAAAAATACATGTTTCAATAATTTTGTATGTAAAATTACCGAGATGATCATTAAATAAGATTTTTGTTGAGTTAAAATGGGATTATTTCAATAATTTTGTATGTAAAATAACTAATAAAAAGGGTAAAATGGGTATTTGGAAAAAAACTGATGCATCAACCTAACATTTTCCGTTTGGGATGATGATAGAAGGGAGGTTTTTGTTGAGTTTTTCAAAAGTTAAGGGGAGACATTTGTTAAAATGAAACCATAAGAGAGCTTTTTATGATTGTCAAAAATTTTAGGGAGGTTTTTGTATTTTACCCTTCAATAAATGATTTTTGCTCTATTGCTCTTATTTATGCATAGAAAATGGCAAAAATGGACTTTGTTTTTGTGCATTTCAACGTTTGAGGAAGTTATTTTTTAAGGGGATGTTTGGAAGCGAGGCCGTTTTTATGAAAAAAACGGTGCCATGTCAGATTCATATAGGCATTTCAATAAACGCCCATATACATGATTGTTTGGTTCAAGCGCCTTGTAAATCGGGACCCCACCGATGTTGAACCGTTGCATTTGGCGTTTCATGCATCGGTGAGCCGTTGCCCCCAACAGTTCACTGATATGACGAGTGCATGGCAGAAAATCACCTTGCCAATGTGCACATACATGAATTGGCCTACCAAACAACATAGTGTTGTTCAAAGGCAGAAACACTCCCATCAAGGCATTTTTTTTTTTTTTTTGGTGAAAAACTGGTCCAGCAAGCATGGGCATTTTTATTTGAAAATCGATCACAAAAAATGCCCACACTTCCAAACACCATCTAAAGGTTCTACAAAATGAACACCATCTAAAGGTTCTACAAAAGGTCTGGTGTTTTTTCACTATTATGCTGATATGGACTCTACGGGCACCTAATTGTTACCATTTTGCAAGCAAATAAAGTACAAATATTGAATGAAAAAAAAGTAAACGAACCAAACACATAGTTAAGAAATTATATTATAAACACGTTTATTGGATATATATTTCTTTTGGGTAAAGAAGTGTTTTTTATTTTTTGGAATTCGGAGTTTGCAAAATCCAAACGCCTCAGATTTGGGTGAATCATCGGGAATGGATTTCGAGGAATCGTTTCCTCTTACCAAACATCCCCAGTTCACTCGTTCCTAACAACTGCCACTGCAGAAATTTCGACTCACTCGATCTTGAAATCTAATTGTGCGATTCATACATTATCTTACTATTGGGCTCGTTCGATCTAGAATTCTAATTCGCAGTCTGATCGACTCGAGAATTCTGATAGGGAAATTGTTCCTTTTTTCCAGAAGGTCGGGGGAAAGCTCCGATCTGAGAAATGATCACTCGTTCTAAGCTCGTCGAGCAACTCAGAGATTATGACATTCGTTCACGGCAAAAGCGGAACGCCCTCTCAATATTCTCCCCCAAACACCAGATCACTACCAGGTACTTTCCTCCCATTTGGACTATATGTTTGTCTTTCACTGGGTCGGAAAGTTTGATTTTTTTTTTTTTAATTTGTTTTCCTGATCAGAAGTTGGTCTACTTGTGCCATGGATCAAATAGATTAATGTACACTGATAACATGTAGAAGTTCCGAGGTCGAACTCATATGCTCTATGAATCATACGCAACAAGATGGCTTATATAAATATTTAAAGATAGCTCCTGCCTCCTGGACTGGTAAAGAAGTATTATCCAATGATAATAGATCCCAGGTTCAATAAACGAGTTATTGCCTTCGAGTCACCTGGTAGCAATCCCAAGAATTTTGAAGGCGCTAACTAGTATCTTCGTCTTGCGTGGGTTAATGCACCTCTACCCTGATTTGTAAGTGATCCTAGCTTGCCCATAAAATAGTAAAATATGGAAGACTCATAGTGGCCATTATAATACAACGGCAAGGTGCAGTTTTATTTATTTATTTATTATTATTATTATTTTTTTTTTTGGGGGGGGGTACCTTTAAGTTGTCCAGAGAGAGTGAGAAGAGACAATTCTTGAATGCAGTAGAATTTCGTAACTAAAATTTGCATTTTAACTTTTATTGCTACCTTAATCATAGAATTATCTTTCTATATCTTTCCTTCAAAATTTTCTTGTGTATATTACCATAAATTATCTCCTACTGTGTTGCTTTACCCAATAATTACCACCGATCAGCCACCACAGTTTCAGTAGAACTGGAACCTTTCAGTTCCTCTGACCATTCCTTTCAGAGGGACCTCTAACCACAGCTCCAATCCCTGTCTTTGATTCTCTTGAAAATACCAAACACATAGCAAAAATACCAGCATTTTATTGGAGGTGATAGTATGCCAAACTGGCTTTGAGAAAACCTCCGTGGTTGTTGTTCACCTGTGCAATCTCATCCAACCTTTTCCTTTATGATAAAAGGTGAAAACATTATTCAGGAAGGAAAACAGTAAGAGTGACGAGGGAATCACCCTAAGATAAATACAACAAGTAAAACAAAAAGATGATCAGAAACAGAGATACAATGTATCACCTAGTAGTAAAGCCCTCATAAAAGATTAGATATCCCAACTGATTCCTGAAGTGATTGAAAGAGCATCTGTGAAATTCTCTCAGCACAAGACACCAGAAAATTAAAAGCCTCTCAGTCCGCGTGTGTGTGTGAGCGTGTTTCTATATGATTGTTTCTTCCCCCACAAACTCCAGAATATTGCAAAGGAAAGGAGATTTCAGAGAAAATTCCTTACACAGACCAAGATGAGAGGAGCATAAGTAGGTCTGAAGGGTCATCCATGATCTGCTAATAAGGCTATCCAACCTTATTTGAGCATTGGGCCTGAGCATCTGTGAAATTCTTTCAGCACAAGACACCGAAAAATTAAAAGCCTCTCAATCCATTCAATTAGAGCCTCCTTAGATGCGTGTATGTGTTTCTATATGATTATTTCTCCCCCCACAAACTCCAGAATAATGCAAAAGAAAGGTGATCTCAGAGAAAATTTCTTACATAGACCAAGATGAGAGGAGCATAAGTAGGTCTGCAGGGGCCACCCATGATCTGCTGAATAAGGCTATCCAACCTTAGTAGAGCATTGGGCCTAACTGAATAATTGATCACCTGTCTCTCAGAAGAGGTGGGACTAAGGAGCCGTTTGATAACAGCTGAAGTGACTGAACTGAAATTTATTGCTTTGTCTTTTAGTGAATATGATCTTAAGGAGGTTAAGGCTCCTTAATGGCTGAAGCTGAAATTGGGTAGGTTACTATACCGTTGAGTATTTTATTGTTTAATTATTTTATCCACGAAAAGACGAAACAACAAGTCATTCAGTTCAGCAACTTCAGCTGTTATCAAACAGCCCCTAAGAGGCCCCTATTAAATTTATTAGTAACTTGCTCTTTGTTTTGCACTCCTTTTCTATCAAATTGATGCATCACATCTAAGGCTGTTCAAGAACCACACTAGTGGGGAATGTTTAGAGTGGTTGTATGGTGAGATTAAGTGTTTTTTAGGGTGCTTGTTTATATAAAATTTATTGTTGGGTTCAATCTAGAGGAAATAAACGGTGGATTTTAAGGAATAAAATTGGAACAACAGGATATTGTTCTAAATTATTACTTAAAATACAACAAACTGGCAGTGTAAAAAGGCCATCAAAAGGGTATAGGTTAGGGATTAAGGAATTATTTGTGGGTGGTCACCTAGAATTTCTTAGGACTATGTTCTGAGAAACAAACAGTTTTTCTTTTTTTTTTCTTTTTTTTTTTTTTTTTTTTAATCAGCACATAGGCTTGAAGGGATTGCACTTCTAGCTATGGAATTAGGGGTGTTCACTGTCCGGTTCGGTGTAGTTTGCAGATGATCTCAGACCAAACCAGTATAATACGGTCTGAGAAATTCCCCGACCAAATCAAGCCAGACCAAACTATTTTATTGTGGTTTGGTGCGGTTTCTAATACAGTTTGGGCCATTCTATGATTCTATTGGGCTTAACCCAATTAGAAAGCCCAAATAACACCCCTGCCCTCCCCAAGTCTTTTTTTTTTTAATTTTTTATGTGCATGTATTTTCGTACCAGTATTATAAAATAAGAGTTTATTATTATATTACATATTAATACATATAAATTATATTATATTTAGATATATTATATATAATATAATATTATACATTTAGATTACATATTTATATCATATGTTAGGTTTACGGTTTGGTTGGTTTATAAAATATAGTAAACCAAACTGCAAATTTGGTTTAGTTCAGTTACGGTTTGGACTGTACAATGTATGTCCCTATGTGGAATTGTCCAATAAGCAATAATTGCTTTACTTTTATTCAACCATTTTTATTAGAATCAATGAAAAAGAATAGAAAAAAGAGAGCATTTGGTATACAACTATACATATACACATACAAATGAATAAACCTACTCTAAAGTCCTAATCTATATATGGACCCGGTGCTTGTTTAACTTCCCTCAAATAAGTTCAAATATCCCAACTCCTGTAGCCAAAACTAACTTAAACCACCCAAACAAATAAAACTAAATCAGAGAAACCAAATGAAAGGAAAATATTTACAACGAAAAAAAGTTACTCTGCCTGTGGATTTGGTAGAGATTGAAGCTAGACTTTTTTTGGGAAAAGGGTAAATTTTATTTAAGAACTAGCAAGAGCATGATACAACAAGCTCCTGGCTAGGCAAAACAAATTACAACAAGATTACAACTCCTAGAGGCTTCTAGATCTCATTAAGGCCATCAGATAATTAAAAACCTATACATGTTTCAACTTTCTCTGAGTTTTCATACTTCAATCCAACTTTATTTTTTATCAGTAAAAAAGATTTCATTATAAATTTAGAAAGATTACAGAAATGAGTAGCCTCGGCTACCCCACTAGAATTTAGAGTTTGCCAACTATCAACTTTTAATTATCCAGCCTTACAACTGAGCCCAGAAACAATGTTCCCTGTTAACCCCTGTTTTGCTAGCTGATCTGCAAAGCCATTTGCTGCTCTTGGAGTCCACTGTATTAACAACTGCATGTCCTTGGAAAAGCATTTAAACTTCTTAATTTCATTTCTATAGAGCCAGGGAGTCTTTTCATTTTGCTTTAACCAGCTTATGACCACTTTGGAATTGCTTTCCACAATCAGTTTTCTCACTCCCAACTCCATAGCTTTTTGTATCCCAAAAACCACTGCCTTTAGTTTAGCTGTAGTGGAGTCTCCCTTTCCAATAGGGCCTGAGAACAACCCCACCACAGCCCCTTTGTCATTTCTTATCACCTCTCCAATTCCAGATATTCCTGGGTTGCCAAAACTACTTCCATCAAAGTTTAATTTGAGGAAGCCAGAATCAGGGGGATCCCACTCTCTTAAGACCTTTTTAGTTGATGAAGAGGAAGCTACTGTCCTCCAATTTCTGAAGATATCATCAACAGTAAAATCTGAGAACAATCCCACAGATTTTACCCACGAAATCACCTTTATCATGATCCCTTCTATCAGCATTTCCTTGCATCTTTTGTTTTCTTCAAAGATTCTCAGATTTCTTTCCTTCCATATCACCCAAAGCACTGCTGCCAGAGTGCATCTCCATAGCATTCTACCTCTTCTTTTTGTTCATCTGAAAGTGGAGGAGTCAAATAGCCTTTCCAAACTCATTGGGATATCTCACCTGCATCCAAAGAGAGAGAAAAACCAGTCCCAAATACAGCTAGCAACAGGAGAGGAGACAAAAATAGGAAAAGCAGTTTCGCCACTTGACTCACACAAACAACACCAATTAGGAGAAAGGCACCAGTCAGGCCTCTTCCTCTGCATCAGATCATAGGTGTTAATTGCACCATGGTAGACCTCCCACAAAAAAGCACCTCACTTTCAGGGAATGGGGCGACACCAAACTTCTTGGACTGGAAACAATACCCCAGGTTGAGCAGAAGTAGACAAGGTTTTGAAGAAGGAAGCACAACTGAAGGCTCCAGAGGGGTGATGGGTCCAAAGCCTAGTATCTTGTTTGGGGATATCAATAAACACCCCATCTAGCAGCTGAAGGAGAGAGGACACCAAGCCCATCTCAGAATCTCTCACATTTCTACAAAGCCCCAAATTCCAAGCAAAACCAGACTAGGAGGGAGAAGGGGTTAAGAAATCAGCAACTGGTCTGTTCTTAAGAGAGGAAAGGGCATATTGAGGGGAACAGTGTCTTCAAAGGAGAGTTGCCCACCCACACATCTTCCCAAAAGTTAATTTTGTTACCTGAATTGAGGTCAAACCTGACATGACTGAGCAGCAGTGGAAGGAGTTTGTGAATTGCTTTCCATGGTGATGTGGTAGAAGCTCTACAAGATATTCCACTTCAATCCAACTACTACTGGGACTAGACCCAAGAACAATCAAATAACTCATCTCTTCTGATCAAATCTAACCTAAACTATCCAAAAAGATAAAGCAGCAGTAGAGAAAAACCATGTGACTTGGGCCAAATAGCAGTTTCATGGTTATTCATAAAAAAAATAGCAATTTCATGGTTATTCATAAAAAAATAGCAATTTCATGGTTAAGATGTGCTATCTTTTTTTTTTTTTTGATTGGTGGGAGAATGCACCTAGGCCATGGATTTGGGGTCTAAAAATACCCAAAAATTGTTCATCTTTATGCCAATTATCATCATCTAAGCCTTGTCCAAATCTATATGGAGTCAGCTACATGAATCCTGTTTCACCATTCCATTCTTCCTCATGCCAATGGTGTTGTTAAATAAGATCCTCACCATTGACCATTACTAGGGGTGAGAGTGTGGTACATATAAAATGCATATTCTTTTTGCCATGTCTGCAAGGAATTGGTC